GGTGACACCCTCCCGCGGGGGACCCGCCTCTGCCCCCTCTGCGCCCCCCTCCCCCGCGATTGACACACAGCAGGACAAACACCGTTTCTCTTAACCGTCTGCGCTGTGTGGCCTTGGCCGCGCTGCCTTTACCAACTGGCTGTTTGCAACCGAAATCGCAGGTTTGCGAACCCCAGGAAAAGCGCTGCCCCGCGTTCCCGGGGGGAGGGAAGGAGCCCGACTTCGTAATTAAAGAGGAAAGCGAGCCTGTTTTGCCCAGAATAGGGATAGGAGTAGGTTGGGGTAAGAAAAGGAGAGGCGGGCTTTTCCTGTTTTTAATATTTGAGGGAAAAAGCCTCCCTTGCGTTTTGGGATCCTCTTGCTGACATCGCTGTTTGTTAACCGGGCTCATCCAGTATTAACACTATGAAGAAAGTTTATAGAGAACGTAGAGGGGGTTTAAACTCAGCTATTAACCCGGGAGACTCGGTACTTTGCACCTTGATTTTGCAAGACCTCAGCTTCTCAAACATCGTTAAGGAGCTTCGCAGAGTAATTGCTAGGAAGTTAAGGTCAGTAAACCCGCCTGTAAAACAGGCGGGCAGGGGTTCCTCACCCAAGCTCAGGGTGTGCCCGGGGCAAGGGGCATGGCCTCCGTAATTATGTGCTATGATCACAGTTCTCTGCAGAGAAGTCTGCACCTTGTGTTAGATTCTTCAAGCGGCCAGTGACCCCAAGATAGAGTTCGGAGATGCTGGTATAGAGGTGGCCACGAAGCGAAGCCATATTTAAAAACACGGGGATGGTGGAGAGGAAATTTGGATACATATGCTTTATTTCAGTGTGTGCCACGGGTGAGGTAACCGACTCCCTGCTTTCCTAGGCCGGGTGATAGCCACTTTCTCCTGCTCCGGAGAAAAGGAGGTCAATTTGGCTGTTGAAGATGCAAAGGCTGCCTTCAAAATATGGCGTCAGAAGTCGGGCCTGGAGCGAGGCCGGATCCTCCTGGAGGCCGCCAGGATCATCAGGGTGTGTTTCCTTTCTCCCCTTCCGGGAGAGCCGGCTGTCCTTGCTCCGAGGGAGCTGCCGGGTGGTGTGCGGCGGACTTTGGGACACTGTCAGGTTACGACTAGTTTATGAAACCGGAGAGCGTTCCCACCTGCTCACCTGGGTGTGTGTGTGCAG